CTGCGCGGCCGGAGAGGGCAGTGCGAACCAGGTGCAAGCCATCGATGGAGTCCAGTGTACGTTGTAATATACGTGTAGCAACGTGTAACAACCACGTATATTACTTGACGTATTATACTTACCCAACCCTGCTCTTTGGTATTGCCGGTATTGCAACGCTGATCTGGTGTATAAGGTCGCGTGGTCGGCATAAAATTGCATCATAAATTGGCGGTTTTATTGACGTGAGATGTCGGAAAAATTACCGGAATCAATCAATTTCTCCAAAGAGGAGGAAGTTATTTTGAAATTGTGGAAATCTGTGGACGTTTTCCAGAATTGTCTCAGGCAGTCAAAAAATAAACCCAGATATTCCTTTTATGATGGACCTCCCTTTGCCACTGGTCTACCGCATTATGGGCACATTCTCGCTGGTACCATAAAGGATATTGTAACAAGATATGCTCATCAAAGTGGATTCCATGTGGAGCGGAGATTTGGTTGGGATACCCATGGGTTACCAGTGGAATATGAAATCGACAGCGTTTTGGGTATTAAAGGTCCGGATGATGTCATGAAAATGGGGATAGCCAAGTATAATGCGGAATGTAGAAACATTGTCATGCGTTATGCGGATGAGTGGAAAAGCACTGTGGAAAGAATTGGACGTTGGATCGATTTTGAAAATGATTATAAAACCTTATATCCATGGTATATGGAATCTATTTGGTGGGTATTTAAAGAACTATACAACAAGGGACTGGTATATCAAGGAGTAAAGGTAATGCCTTTTTCTACAGGGTGTAATACCCCATTATCTAATTTTGAATCTGGTCAAAATTATAAGGAGGTGACTGATCCTTCTATCGTCATCGCATTTCCTCTATTAGATGAACCTAATGTATCTATCCTTATATGGACTACTACACCTTGGACGCTACCCAGCAATTTAGCGCTTTGTTGTAATCCTAATTTTGAATACGTTGAAATTGAGGATGTGTCATCTGGAATCATTTATATTTTATTAGAATCAAGCTTAAATCTATTGTACAAATCAAATAATTTGTATAAGATACGTCGAAAGAGAAAAGGTTCCGAGCTTAAAGGAAAGTCTTACGAACCTCCATTTTCCTATTTTAGCGAATTACGAAAAAAAGGAGCTTTTAAAATCTTGAATGATACCTACGTAACTGCTGATTCTGGCACAGGTATTGTTCATCAGGCCCCATACTTTGGAGAAGATGATTATCGATGCTGCTTGGAAGCTGGTATTATAACAAAAGATCAACAAATGGTCTGCCCGATTGATAGTCGTGGTTGTTTTACAGAACCTGTACAAGATTTTTTAGGTCTCTATATTAAGGTAGCAGATAAAGAAATCATTAAGCATTTAGAGGCAAAAAAGAAACTTCTATATAATGGAGTGAGCAAACATAGTTACCCATATTGCTGGAGGTCAGATACTCCATTAATTTATAAAGCTGTGCCGTCATGGTTTATTAGAGTCGAACAAATAAAAGAAAAATTATTAGAAACTAATGCACAGACGTATTGGATACCTGATTATGTGAAGGAAAAACGATTTGGTAATTGGCTGAAAGATGCTAGGGACTGGGCTGTCTCTAGAAATCGTTATTGGGGTAATCCTATACCACTGTGGATATCTGAAGATAGAAAAGAAATTGTATGTATTGGAAGCATCAAAGAACTGGAAGAGTTATCTGGTACTAAAATAACTGACATTCATCGGGAAAGCATTGATACTTTGACTATTCCATCAAATCGACCAGGACAACCACCTTTATATCGAGTTTCAGAGGTTTTCGATTGTTGGTTTGAATCGGGATCTATGCCTTACGCTCAATTACATTATCCATTTGAGCACATCAAGAACTTTGATGAAAGCTTTCCTGCTGATTTCATTGCAGAAGGAATAGACCAGACTCGTGGTTGGTTCTACACTCTGCTAGTCATATCAACAGCACTTTTTGGAAAACCTGCCTTTAAAAATTTAGTTGCTAATGGCTTAGTATTAGCATCAGATGGACAAAAAATGTCAAAACGGAAAAAGAATTATCCAGATCCAATGGAAATTATTAAACAGTATGGAGCAGATGCATTACGTCTTTACTTAATTAACTCTCCAGTTGTAAAAGCAGAGAATTTACGATTCAAGGAAGAAGGAGTAAGAGATGTCATTAAGGATGTTTTTTTACCATGGTACAATGCATTTAGATTTTTAATGCAAAATATTGAACGATTTGAGAGAGAAGAGACTAAATTTTCTTATACTGAAATCAAGAATCCTGAAGACTTCTCTAACAATATAATGGATAGATGGATTTTGTCTTTCACTCAAAGTTTGTTACAATTTATGAAACAAGAGATGGAAGCTTATAGATTGTACACTGTAGTTCCTAAACTAATAAAGTACATTGATAATCTAACTAACTGGTATGTGAGAATGAACCGTAAAAGAATTAAAGGAGACTATGGTTCGGTGGATTGTGGGTATGCTTTGAACACACTCTTCACCATTCTTTACACAATAATTAGAATAAATGCTCCCTTTACACCATTCTTAACAGAGTTCATGTTTCAACGATTGTCAAAATTACTCAATTCAAGTAAAAAAAACAAGGAAAGTGTTCACTATCAAATGATGCCTGAAGCTTGCTCTTGGTTAATCAATGAAGGCATAGAGAAGGCTGTTTCTTGCATGCAAACAGTTATCGAGTTGGGTAGAGTTGTAAGAGACAGAAAAACATTGCCAATAAAATATCCTCTACCGGAAGTCGTTGTGATTCATCAAGATCCGTCCATTCTAAAGGATATAAATTCATTAAAATCTTACATCCTTGAAGAACTAAATGTTAAAAAACTCACAGTAACAATAGACAAGGAAAAATATGGAGTAGCCTTGCGGGCAGAGCCTGATCACAGAATGCTTGGAGCAAGGCTAAAAGGGGAGTTCAAATCCATTGTCCGAGCTATCAAAGAACTTTCAGATGAAGACCTGCAAGTGTTTGTAGAAACTAAACAAATTACAATAGAAGGTCATGTCCTTGGAGAGAAAGACCTGAGATTAATGTTCAGCTTCACCGGTCCAGCTGCGGAGCAGTTGTCGAAACGATACGAGGCGCATGGAGAAGGTAATATTTTGATTTTGTTAGATGTAACGCTTGATGAAACTATGCAAAATGAAGGAATTGCCAGGGAAATGATAAATCGAGTGCAGAAGTTAAGAAAAAAAGCACAGTTGGTTCCATCGGATGATGCAATAGTGTACTATAGGATTGCAGATCCTAATAGTACCTTGGCAAAAGTAACTGTCACGCATAAGGAATTCATTGAGGGAACCACAAGAACTCCACAGAAAGATATTTCAGAATTACCTAGCAATGCTAACATTATTATCGAAGAGGAACAAACAGTCAAAGGTGTTGGTTTAAAGCTTATTTTAGTTGGATGCAATACAACAGAGGAAGCTGATTCAGTTGACAGTGAACCGCATTTAAAGTATGTCAATGTAGAATTGACGCATTTGCAACCAAGATTTGGTGCAATGGGCAGAAAAGCTACAGTGCTATTGGAAACTCACAAATCTGGGACTGTACTCTCTTACGTACAATTGTGCAAGGAGATTGACAGAGTTTTTGGAATTTATGGGTGTCATTATAACTTGTGTATTAACGGAAAGCAAATATTAGATGTGAAGGATATTGGTTTTCTTCACAAACAAACGATATACATTGTACCAGTTAGGAGCGCTTTATTGTTAGTAAAAAACAATTATGATGGTCCAGTGTGTTGTTTTGTTAATATTCAAAGTGAAAACAATATGGCAACAATACTTTTGGAAAATCCTCAAGGAAACTTTCTATCAGATCCTGTGACTTTAATCAATAGACTGCAGTTACTATTTCCAGAACAAGATATTGCAAGTTTGTCACATGCCATTTCTTCAATGACTAAATCAGTTTCAGAGTTGCACGGGAAAACATTAAATATTTAATAACTAAAAGACATATTGACAACGCCAATCTTAATTAGCGACCTCTTGGATTTTTCTGCAAACATTAATAAGTGTAGTGTTGTTCAAGTTAAGTTTGCCGATTCTAATCACCTTAGCAGAATTGATACTTTTTATAATGTAAATTACTGATATTTAATAAATCAATTTAATTTCTACAACTTTTCTGACGATCTTTATTTCCAAAACACAATAAATAACTTGGAAGCATCCAAATTCAGATAAAGTATAGAAAAATGCTTCAGNTTCAGATAGATATACATTTACCGGCAACAATCAATACAATTACAACATAATTATTCGATTATTCAATAAAAACAGTATTAATGTAAAAAGTATTATAAATATAACCGCCTTATTTTCTTTTCTTTATGAATAGGTGTTTCAACATGTTATATTAATTTCCATTATGATTTATGTCAATTGTTTATGGGTGGTGTACATAAAATGTATTAAGTTTAAAGTGCAATCACCACGCGAATTGACCTTAAATTTCGAACAATTTTTTATCACAAACTATTTAAGCATGGATTAGGTTACATGTCAGTTAATATATGTCTTCAATATTTAAATAACTCATCCAATCTATATATTCTCGAATAACATCTTTATTAACATTAGTCGAATCAGAATTGACTTTAAAACAATGAATGTCTCACAATTCAATGAGGAGAAAAAGTAGTATATGTGCTTCCATTTTTGCGGGAAGTCTTGTAAAAATGAAAGTTCAATGTGTCATATAGCTGCGTATGCACACAATTTCTAGGAAACAACGTCAAAGAATTATTTTATTATAATTTCTAACTGTCAATGTCGTGAGGTAATAATACATATGTTACTTTTAATATATAAACTGAAAATCAGCTGTAGGGTGCAGTAAGGATCCACTAAATTTGCATTAATGTGTCCGACATGAAAAAGCAGATTGCTGATATCAAACATTGTCAATACAAATATCATGACTGTAAAAAACATTCAAAAGTTTGTTAGTTTGTTTGCAAACTGAAACTTATCCATAAATTCTTTCAAGAATAGTTAAGGAATCGATTCCGATTGATCAAATTTCGGATGGACGACACAAGTTGGATCACATGTTACCTCTTTCGAGTCATGCCTTATTTTCATACTCGCGGAAAGCACGCAGAATCGACGCGGAGTGCGGAACGCGGAATGGCCTAGAGACGCCTTAACCAATCACCTTAATGTCTTAACCCTAACGCGCCTATCGCGTTCCGCGCTTCGCGTTGATTTCGCATGCTTTCCGCGTATATGAAAATAAGGCATTATCGAGTTGAATCAATAATCCAACTAACAATGGTATAAGTGTAGATTTTTCCAGTAAAATCCCCAAATTTTAGAGGTGATGGTTATCTGACTATTCGATGTCTCTGATACTGTCTGTATCAGGTAAAAAATGGCTTACTAAAGAAATGGTAAATATTGCTGTAAGTCCATAAAGTGCAAGGGTGGTTGTCGCTGTGAAAATTTGGGCATAGTAATAACGAGAATACCAAGCTAAACCCAGCATTAAGGTCAATAGACTAGCTAACAGCACGCTTAGGTCCCATTCGTTATGCGCTAAACGGACACCGGCTCCAGTAGGCATGTCTTGCAATGGTCGCCGACGGAAATAGATGGGGGATGTGTTATCCAATATTGTTGCTTGAGGAGATGTCGTTGGGGAGGTACGAAGCTGATGTATGAGACAGTGAACGACACAATTATTATATAATCCACATCGTTCTAATGTGTGAGTATCAGGTTGGAGTAATTGTCCATTGAAGACTAATCGAACTAACTTCTGTGACTGTAGTTCCACTTGGAAATGTCTTCTGAAAATGTAATATAAATATAAAAATAGTGTAAATCTCAAAAACATAAACATGTACAATTTTTCCATTACTAACTTACTTTTTAAAGTCCCCTAGTATTTCATTCAAACTTCCAGTCACTAGCTTTTGGTCGTCGTTTATGAACTTCAATTTTATACTAATTTTATTAGCATCATCAGATAATATATTTTGTCTTTCTTCTTCGATGGAAACACTTTGCTCAGATTCAGTAACTGCATCTGTAACATCTACTTTGTCAGTTTCCTTTTGTAACCTAGAATTATCATTATCAGAATCCATTGCTTCAATAAGAACTTCTTCTGATGTCGCTGGTAGTGCAGATGCATTAGGCTCACTTTGTGCTTCATTTGAAGCTAAAATGGAAACACAGAATACATAAATATTAATCAGTTATGGCAAATATTTACACATTACATAAATTAAATGTACCTGTAAGAGAAGACTGTGCTGGACATTCAGTATCAATTGTGTTAGTGGTATTGGCATTTGAATCAACAGATTCCTCTTGCTCGGAAGCATCCAAACTAGGAGGCCGATCAGGTAAATCAACAGATCGATGATTAGATCTTAATTCAGTGACACGTGTGCGTGTACGATTTTGCAGAATTAGAACTGTGCGTATTAGGGGTTGGTCGACGATGTTTGTAGAATACCATGCTACCCAACCCACCAACAGAACTCCAACAGCAATAAAGAAGTCTGTGACCTCATCTCCAACACCTTCAATTAATGTCATCCTTCTACTACCACAAATCTACAAATTAACAAAAATTTAATGTCAATAGCGTACCAAACCTTGCATTGCTATAAACATTATTCATAGGATCTTAACAAAATGTAATGCACTTTTTATATAATTTTACTTCATACATTAAGTACTACGTATATGCATCAACATAGTATAATAACCATTTAACTGTTTGAAAGATACTCAATTTTTATTCACTGAAAGCAGCTGATAACTGGGGATTTTAAAAACCAAACCTGATCTGCATTTCCAAAAAACAGGAAAAGGACCAACACTAACCTTTAAATGCGAGAAGTGGATGCAAAGATACGTATCAACTACGTTCTTTTACAAAAGTTGCAGAAAGATAACCATAACTTCACGCTATTATTTACATCTGCTCGTTAAGTACAAATTATTTTTTTATGAACGTTTACAAGGGTTTTATTCTTCCGATAAGTTTCAATACAGTCATTCACTGAGACTGATAACTTTATTTAAAACGAGAACACTTTTTCGAACGACTCTCACCTCGACTTCCGAAATTCCTTGTTTTGCTCAATTTCGAGCAACTGCAAATACTCCTCGTAAAATTATTAAAAAATCCCCAACATAGACGTTCATGTGACGTATATAACTTGTGACTACCAGCGACGTGCTTGCGTGGGAATTACATAGAACTACACATCACCGCTTCAACAGATGAACGGAGTGGTCGACCGTCTTGCATTCGTTTAACCAGTGGCCAGTGACCATATGCCCATGGTCATGGACGTAAGAATACATGGACGGAGCACAAACGAGAGGGGTGAGTGACCAAAGAAGCAAGGGGAGAACACGTAGGAAGTATGGTAAGGTAGTGTAGAGCAGTTCCAAAAACCTTAGCTTCCTGATTGGCTGAAATTCGTTCAAACGGTTAGTGGGAAAACAGAAAACAACATACAATATGCCCACTTGTATTGTGAAAACGTGTAAAAATTATTGTTTACGAAAAGGTTCGGCGAAAAGAAATAAACTAGAATTAATGGGAATTATGAAAAAGGTGTCCTTCCACAACTAAGAGCAGACTTCATTTTTTTAAGGTTATGTTAAAGTAAAAGTAAACGTACATAAACATATAACAATGTAAATATGCATTTTAGTTTTCCAAAGGATCCATCCATCCTAAAAATTACATATTTTCTATTTATTTCTTTCTAATTATGTTTTCATACGTATCATATGTACTTGTTATATTTATGATATATAATTGCATCTATTTTTTTATTATGTTCTTCAAATAAAGATGTTACGTGTTGAATTCTTTCAGAAAAATGAAGACTGTTTTGAACAATTATGCCACGTTAAAGTCTCCTGGAAGGGTAAATAAATGCTTCTTTACAAAAAAGTCTAAGGTCTGTATGTAGTATATAAAATATAAGTGTACAAAACTGGCAATTTTATAAATTGAAATACATTTTGAGCTTTCTTCAAACTCTTATTTTGTAAAATTTTGTACAAGTAAGTTTTCATCGAAATTGTCATTCTATCCAAATAAACATACGAATAAAATGGATACGTTTGAATTTTTCTTGGTTCTTACTGCTCACCTTTTTGTAAATTAAATAAAAGATTATTATGCGTTCTAAATATTCGAGAAAGAAACTTACAACTCATGTAATATAGAAAATAATCGAAATTGCTTTCAAAATTACGCGCTTTTTTTCTGCAGCCAATCAGGGCGCTGGAAAATAGTATTGCATTATACCCCTCCCTCTCCTACGCGTCGGCTTCATCCCCTCGTCTAAGATGGGACTTTGGGCTCCGTCCATATATTCTTACGTCCATGCCCATGGTCAGGGCCATGGAGAATTTTATAAAGAATATAAAAGAACATGTTCTATTAAATGTTAATAAGTTTCTCAGCGATTCAATTGTTCTATCCACTGAACGGAAGTTAGAATATTATTTTAGCATAAAAGAAATAGTTTTTAAATATATATACAGTGAAATACCGTAGGAAAATTTACAATACATCAACTTTCGGACATAGAAACGAAATCGTGATTTCATGTTTCTAATATATTTACGTTCTACGCCATTCTTTGTATTCCTCGAATAAATGGACACCTGTAAACATAAGAAAGACTTTTCATATCCGAGTTTTTTTATAAACGCAAATCGGAGTAACTCTTATGAATTGATTTCATTCGAAATAGGTACCCAAAACGTAAAACCCCATTTCCATTTCGTATTGGAAATAAGAACAATAAACTATTATGGATTTCCAATTTTCAATAGATTTTGAATCTATTTGCGTTTGAAATTAAATACTTCCAGAGAAATGAGAATATTAGAAAAGAGTCTATCAGAATGATATTTGTTCTATCAACTGAATCAACTCTCGAAAAAGTTAAACATCACGCGTAACTCGAAATAGCCACATTGGCAAAAACAGATGAGATTAAATTTTTTACTTGCATTTTAAATACAAATACAAGTCATAAAATTTCGTGTCCGAAAAAGGCATGAACAACTGAGGGTTAACATTACGATTAGATGGCGCAGTTAATTCGAGACGACATTTCTCGTGGAAGAATTGATCCTCCATTCCCTCTGTTAATTATTTGATCGCGGTCACTGCAAAATGACAATCCGCCTTGCGAGCCGCGGAAGGAAGGGGCGATAAGGCCCGAAGGTGAACGACGGCAAGCGAGAACGTCGTCGGGAGGCATAAGATCCGCCAGAGAGCAACAGAGAACGCCGCTCACGATGGGACGAGGCCGCACCCCGGGGTAGAGAGAGAGAGTCTTCCCCGCCAGAGTGTAAACATCGATGCTTATCCGATTATCGGGAGTCGATACTGAGACCCACACAATAGGGAGTGGAAGGCCCGAGAGAGGAGTTTTAAGAGCGGTAGAGAAAGCCCGGTGCCCATGCGACCCGTAGGAGTAAGAGAGAACGCCACGTCTAGGACCCTCGAGCCCCGAGCCGGCGGCCGAGCCGAGCCGGCCCCGACGACGGGAAACTTATTTTCGGTCTTCTCCTTCCATTTTCCCTCCACGTGTCACGTTTGTCAGAAAATTCATATAAGGAAATATTGGCCATTTAAATTTACTTTGGGCTGTAACGGGTTACAGCCCAAAGTGTAGTAACGGGTTACTCTAACTGTTCGACTGTCGCGAAACATGCTACAACTTGTTTGCATATAATATCATATTGCAAGAATGTCAATTCCTTCGAAAATATAAAATTTTATTTCTAACCGTGTTTCCTCTATTTACTGTGCTTATTTTAGTTTACGTTTTTTGCAAAATTTCTCTTTATATCATTTTGCTTTAATGTCAATGCCGTCAATTTGTTTTATTTTAAACCACGGAACTCTGAAATTTCATCATTTTTCAGTTTCCACATGGTTTATAAATTTGCATGCTTAATAAAACAGGAACGACGAAAGGTTTAAGTTACGTGTAGACGGCATAGTTTATTCGGGACGACAGTTCTCGCTAAGGAATCGACCCTCCTTTCCCTCTGTCAATTACTTGATCGCGGTCGTCGCAAAATAACAATTCACTTTGCCAGCCCTGGAAGGAAGAGGCGATAAGGCCTGCGAGAGAGCAAGGGAGAACGCCATTGGGAGATAGAAGACCCGCGAGAGGGCAAGGGAGAATGATGTTCCGGAAGGAACGAGGCCGTAGACCGGAGCTGAAAGAGGATCTTCTTCGCCGGCTTGAAAGCATTGACAATAATCCCATTATCGGGAAACCAACATTGATACCCTCACAGCAGGGGGTGGAAGGCCCGAGACCGGAGTCTTGAGAGCGGTAATGGAAGCCCGGGGCCTATGCGACCCGTAGGAGCGAGCGAGAACGCCACGACCCTCGAGCCACTAGTCGGCGGCCGAGCCGTGCCGGCCACGCCAAAGCGAAAGCGGTATCTGGCCAGGCCCCGAAGCCCGGACGCATAAGTCTGTCTCTGTTCTATGAGACGGTTAGAGCACCAAACAGGCCATTTCACTCGGACACACGGCCTCCAGGGCGAATGCAGAGAAACACAAGTATGCAGCCCCCTTTCCGCACCGGCCGTTCGTCCACTTGCTACCACCGAGGCTGAGTGTCGACGGACTCGAACGCTTCCCGAATGACTTACCCCCCTCCGCCCCTTTACCCGTAATGTGTAACGTTCGTCAGAGAATTCTTATAACAAAATATTGGCCATTTAAATTTCCTTTGGGCTGTAGCGGGGCTGTTCGACCATGACGAAATACGCTACAACTTGTTTGCATATAATATCATATTGTAAAACTGTCAATTCGTTCCGCAATATAACATTTTCTCTCCAATTAGGGTTCATTCTTTTACTGTCGTAAGTTCAATGTGCTGATGTAATCAAATTTGAAAATGAACGAGAAATCCTGTGGTTTTCTCATTGCCTCATAAACTTATTTTTTATATTATGGTTTTCCAGCGTTATTCGTTCAATTTGTGCATACTTCAATCTTTTGACTACATTTTACAGTAATGTATTTGAGGTCAGGTTGAGAAAAATTAAACCATTAATTTTCTAGCAATTGATTTCCTTTTCAGTGTATTGGTCGGGGCAAATCGGGAAAAGATGGTTAGAAACTACGTTAAGAAGATTGGCCATCGAGTGTATAAAAATGACACCCACGAAATCTTTCAGACTGCACTCGAGCGAGAAAAATGGGACCAAATAACTTTAACAGATACTAAAGAAATTTGTTAAGTTTTATATTGGCTGTTTATTTTTTAGCAGAATAAAATGTATTTTAAGACATTCACATAGACTAGCATTTATGTTTTCTTTCATGAATTTCTAGATTTATGTTGTTTTACTTCTGCGCGGGATGAAAAATGAGTAAATTCAACTCATTTTCTGAGTTAAACATGGCGCATACTTGTGTCTCCCTCTATCCGCCCTGGAGGCCGTGTGTCCGAGTGAGATAGCCTATTTGATGCGCTATCCGTCTCATAGAACAGAGACAGACTTATGCGTCCGGGCTTCGGGGCCTGGCCAGATACCGCTTTCGCTTTGGCGTGGCCGGCACGGCTCGGCTGCCGACTAGTGGCTCGAGGGGCGTGGCGTTCTCGCTCGCTCCTACGGGTCGCATATGCCCAGGGCTTCCATTACCGCTCTCAAGACTCCGGTCCGGGGCCTCCTACCCCCTGCTGTGAGGGTATCAATGTCGGTTTCCCAATAATGGGATTATTGTCAATGTTTCCAAGCCGACGGAGAAGATCCTCATTCAACCCCGGCCTACGGCCTCGTTCCTTCCGGAACGGCGTTCTCTCTTGCTCTCTTGCGTGTCTTCTGTCTCCCGACGGCGTTCTCGCTTGGACTCGCTCACCCGCGGGCCTTATCGCCCCTTTCTTCCATGGCTCGCAAGGTGAATTGTCATTTTGAGACGACCGCGATCAAATAATTGACAGAGGGAAAAGAGGATCCATTCCTTAGCGAGAACTGTCGACCCGAATAAACTATGCCATCTACTCGTAACTTTAACCTTTCGACGTACCTGCTTTATTAAGACATGCAAATTTGTAAGCCACGTGGAAACTGAAAAACAATGAAATTTCAGAGTTTCGTGGTTTAAAATAAAACAAATTCAAGGCATTGACAAT